TCAGGTTTATTTTGTTTCATTCATAACTCTAAAGCTAACTTTTTATTTCAGTTTCTTCGGAATGTAATTTTTTTTAAAAATTGAAAGTCAAAGTAATTTCTTCCTATCCAGTTTACATCTTTAAATAACATAATTTCTAGAACTACATTTTATTGAGGATTGTTTCGCCTAATGAATATTTGTAAAATTAGACAAAAAAGCAGTATAATTTCTAAAATAGAGGCACTGACACCTAGAAAATTTGTTGATAACAAATTCTTTAATGAATGCAAATATTTCGAGACCTTTGATGCGAATTCTTATGCAGAACATTTGTAGAGAATTTTCAATAACTCTCATTTCGAGTTCTTTCGTTTATGTATGTACAAGTTTTATAGGTAAAAATTATAAATGATTTTTTGTATACACACTATTTTATATTTTATACTTCAACATAATATTCTTCAATTATTTATTTTAGTAAAATAAGGAAGTTAACTATTGTGTGAAATACTGACTAATTATTCACACCTAATCGTTGTTATATTATTTAAAATTTTCGCATGCTTACTATCACTAATAATTAACATATTATATAATCGAAGTGTAAATGAATTTAAAAGTGTAATAATCTTATATCCAATTATGTTTACATTTTGACTCTGTTAGACTTCGCATGTAAATTACGATAATTAATTTGAATTTATAAACCATTACTTTACATCAGTGATAATTACAATTGTATGAAGATCTAAAAAATTATTCCTTCCTCATTACGAGTACTTATTAGTATAATATTAATTCAATTTAAACCAGGTTTATAAATACTCGAACAGTTCTATTAGCAGAAATAATTGCATAGTTCTGTGACTCTAACAGTTCTGTGAGTATTGTGAGTAGATACAATGCATTTTTCATCTCATACATACCGAATGTTAATTGGCACGGTGTTTGTTTTAAAAATATTGGAAAGTATCATGATACAAAATAGTATTTAACTATAACCATGAATATAAATATTTTACATAAAGTTTTAAATAGCATCGCCAATTACGCTTACTCTAAAAGGAGTAATTTTATAAGAACAATTACCTTAATATGAGTTTACAATAGAAAATATAAAAGGAAATACCGATTTCTTGTGAAAAGCGTATATTATGTACGTTACTTTCTCATAAAATTGTTGAATAACTTGTTAAAACACTATTTTAAATGCGTTCATTACCTCATCTATACTTTATTAAAAAATGTATCAAATTACGAAAAGTAAATGTTCCGACAAATACAACCAACATATAAGAAGAAAGTATTAATTTCATAAAATATTTCACATTTCTAAAAGAGAAAAAACTGACTGTTTCGTTTTGTTGTAATGTACTTATTACATTTACAAATTAAGTGATAATTAATTCAGTTAACGCTTTTAATTATTTCGATATAAAACACGTATTAACTTAAGCATGTAGGTAAACAAATAACATTGCAGATATTTGATTTTATTACAATAAAGAAAAGAAATAGGATGTAAACTAAAATGAATGAATTTGAAAGGCACTTCTTTTTAATAGAATTCTAGTTCTATTAAAAAGATTCATTCCCGCCAAAATTAATAATAAACACCGAACCCGGAGAATATACCACCGTACAACTTGACGATAATTTACGAAAGAAATCGAGATAGTGTACCTTAATAAACTCACGAACAAATTTAAAGTACCCTAAATTAACTAAGCATTTTTCCTCATTTTAATCATTCTCTTTTATGCTTTCTTGACTCTTATTATGGTTTCTCTAACCGCACTCTAATCTTTTAAATTATTCGTTCCAATAAGAAACCAAAAATAAGAAATGTTATTTTTTGCTTTCAAGTCTAAAAATAGCAACATGACATAATCCCATCTTGTTTTTATTATTGTTTTCTTTATTTTCTTTGCATATTTCTACCTTTTTTTCATAAACTAGCTACTTCTGTATATACAAAAAATAAAAAGAAAACTAAGAGTAAAATTAAAAATATTTTTGCTGCAGCCGGTTTACCTTTATCAAATTATTATGTTGATTTTTTTTTTTTTTGACCCAGGTGTATTTTTTGTTTTTATTATTATTTTTTTCTATTTATACCTCTATGGTGCTTTTAATTTAACTGTTGAAATTCTTAAGATATTTTGAATTAAGTAAGGTATTGTAAAAATTTACGTTAAGACTATATTGAAAAAAAAGAGAACACAAACGTTAAATTTTTTTTATAGAGTATAAATTTTTAAGGAGTATTCCTTTTTAACTCTCATTTATTTGTATTCAACCTTTTCTCAACTCGTTTTGTTTCGTTGCAATACTTGTTCTGTAGACTCTTTGTAGAAACATCGAACAGAAATAGAGAGACTAAAAGAGAAATAAAAAGAAACAGAAAAATTAATATGTATCAGTGATATCATATCAGTGATGCCACTTTAGAGTTCAGCGTATTTTATATGTTAAAAAGGCATCACAAAACTCAACCTAAATTGTAAAATTTTCAAACTCTATTAATCTTACAAAATCAATTTCTAACTTCGAGTTAGTTTGACATTACTACTATTGATATTACATCAAACGATTTTATGTCATTTGATATGTAAAAACTTTAAATAAAAATTTTAAAATTAATAATTTTACATTTAGTTAGCGTTGATAACATATATTAAATGGTTCAAAATCCACTTATACGCTACAATACCCTGTAATATATAAAGTTTAGCATTGAATTAACCCGCCCTTTTACAGCATAATTTTCATATAATTTTTGTCTTGTTCTAACATATTTCTTTGTAGAACTGGCAACATTGATCAAAGAGTATTGGACTTAATTTTAACTATTTTTTTAAATATATGAATATGATATTTAACAAAATTTATTTCTCTCTCCCTTATCGGCATTGACTTTTATAACAGTGTTCAACAATACAACAAAAACCAATAATTGCTGACATTGTTACACTAACATAAACTTTAACAGTAAAAATAACAAAACAATCAAACATTAAACAGAAATAAAAACAATAACAAAATAATAAAAGGTTAAATACGCAATTGCAACATTGTCTTACTTTCTACAATCTTTCTGTGTATGATTTTTATAACTTCACTTTTCATACAATTCGTTCAACGTGAAACCAAAAATGAAAAGAAATTATGTAATTTTTATTTTAAATAAATAACATTTTGTGTATGTCCATAATTTATTTAATATTCTATATTTTACACATTCTATTCACTTCTATCTACATAAACAAATCTACATAAAATACGTGAGGCATACGAAATACAATACATGGGCATATTTCTCACTTTTAAACATTTGGATGACGTCATTTGTTCCACAATAAACATATTGAATCAGAGATACATTACTTTTTGTTCTTAGTTGTTATTTGCTATTAAACATTATAAATTTTTTCTTCTAAAGTGATTAATATAAAATAAAATGTCACAGTAACGTCTAACATTTTCGTGGTATATTAAAAATATATCGATACTGGATATAAATGCCCTGCAACAGCTGTTTTAAAATATTTTCTCTTAAAAACTTTTGATACTAAATTTATGGCATGCGCAATTTTTACATCTATCCATATTATATTTAGATCAAAGTTTTTTTTATTGAAATAGAACTATAGAATAGAAAATATAACATTATATATACGTTAGAAATAAAAAATATGAATATCTACTCATGCATGCTTGAATGGTAGTTAAATGCAAATTGAGATGGACAACATGGTGTAATGGTGGCGTTTTTACTTTTTAATTTTTTATTTACGAATTGAAAATGATGTCATTTCTGTTATATACTATTAAACTCATAACTCAGTATAGGGAATTCATATTCCGTGACTTCAATAATGCTGTAAAAAAGATTTAAGTACGGTATTAATACGGTTGTAGTACCGTCTCAAAGCTTTCAATATCTTAACATTGTAAAAAAAAACTACTAAAGCTTTTCGTACATTTTGGAATATAATTTTTACAATATTATTACGTACTTTGACATTTGTTTGAAAAGTTCAATTTAAAGTTCTGTGCAAATGTTAATTTTTAACAAACTTTACCAAGTCATTAAAAACATTGCATTTTATGCTGCATTTTAGGAAAAAAACTTAATAACTAGCACTTTATTGCTGAAAATAGTTGCTAATTTATTTAATTGGTTATTTATGGCAACATTTATATTTGTTTTTTTTTACGTCTCCAATACGTATAAAACGCATTTAGCAAAAGTGTACAATGTCAAGAGCTTTTACTTAACTTTTTTGAATTTGATACCTTGTAAAATTTACGTCGTAAGCGCATTATTGAAGTCACGGATTCTCTAATGAATGTATGAATCGTTTATTCAACAAAACTGTTATCATAAAGATGAATTATCATAAAGATGAAAACTAAAAATTCATACATCAAACATTTTGAAATTCAAAATGAGAAATAAATCGCATACATTCCCTTTCACTTTATTAATTCATTTTTAATGTTCATACCATTAACCTTTTTCAAGGGAAACCGTCTAATACTCTAATCTAAAATACTAGCATACATCATGCAGTTGTATTTAAAATTTGTTGAATTTCAATTCAAAACAAAACAAAGTATTATGTTCCACTATTCTGTAATCTTTGAATTGAAAGCTCGCTCTCAAAACATAAAATTGCGTAATTATTGTGTATACAACAAACACATGTACCCTGCTGAACTTTTACAATTTCGTTCATAAAAATAACAAAAATTTAACAAGTGTGAGTAACAAAATAATCAAACACTGTTATTTTAACTGTTATTTAAAAAAAAATTCATAACTATAATTTAACATAAAGTTTATCCTCTCTTTCTCTGAGATCTCTATAGAGTATACACAGTAATTTAATTTATTCTCTCTTTCTATTTGTTATACCCTGTCCTATGCCAGTTAATTTTTATTTCTCGCTAGTTTTTTCTGCTTTTAAGCTGAAATGTTAAATAGTTTTCGAGTTTTAAAGTCAGTATCGAACCGGCTTTCTACATATAATCAATCGTAAAATTGGAGCAACGGAAAATGAAATTTTAATATTTTAAAATATTTATATACAATACACAAATACATATGTACATTAATGTATGTAATATGTGATACTCTACAAAGTCCCTACGTGCGAATAATAATATTTGAAAAGAAAAGAAAAAATTATTTAAAAAAAGGAAAAAAAAGCTATTAAATTGCTACTTATATTTTGTTTTACATTTTTTTTTTGGTTTTTATATTGAAAATTGCAAATTCAAATAATTTTTGTGTGGTGTTAAAGATTTAAAAAAATGAAAATAATTATAAAATTTTGATTGAAAAAAAGAAATATTTTGAATAAAAAAATTAAAAAAATTGAGGAAAAAGACCCCAAATGGTATTGATGGGTAGGACGTATTATACATACGAAAATTAAATTAATTTCATACCTCAATAGAAGAGAAAAATCAATGAATTAATCATTAAATATAAAAGAATTGTTAAAATAAAGAAATAAATGAATATGTGATTGTTAATACTCGTAATTTATTATAAATGTGTTAATATTGAATTTTTCAATAATTTTATTTCTGTTTTAAGTTCTATAAGAATTTTATAAGGTGTTAATATAAAATTATATACAAAATATTTAGAAATTCTATATGATAATTGAAAAAGACTATTTCCATTTATTAGAATGGATAAGGATCCGACCAAAAATAAAACGGATCCACCACCATCAACACCAAAAGATGGTGGATTCGATAGAGAGACTACTAAAATTGAAATAAAAACTGTGTCAATGGTAAATCCTAATGACAAACAACAAAAGCAAGAACAACAGCAACAACAACAAAAGCAATTAGGTTCACCAGTACAAAAAACAACAACATACCATTATGAAAGAACTGTAGAAACTGCACCCAGAACAGTAGAAACTGAATCAAAAACTGATCAAAATGTGTCTTCAAAAGTAACAAGTGAAAGTACATTCACTTCTGGTACTACGAGTAAACCGACAACACCTCTTTCATCGCATCGTTTACGGGACAAAGTTGCGTTTATGGAAAAAGTATGGTCATCTGGTGGTAGTAGTAGTAGCAAACGTTCCTTTGATGAAATCGATCATCATACAACACCATTTGATTTAAGTTCAGGTGATGATAATGTTTTTCATGTGGATGTACATGAAATTGAAAAACGTTTGAAAGCTGATAGAGAACGTCGTTCGACATCAGATGAAAATCCACGTGTAGAATTTGTAAAATTAAGATCAACACCTCAATCATCTCCAAAACGTAATATTGAATATGCGGATGACACAAATAATAATTTTCCGCAAGTTACCTTAAGACATGTTGATACAAGTAAATCTGGACGTGATAGAGGAGCTAGCGTTGAAAGTGAAACATACGAAGAAAATATTGAAAAATGTGTTGAAGAAAGTCATTCCCAAGATAATTCACGCACAATAAAATTCGAAAAAACCACTGTTAAAAAATCTACCCGAGAAGTAATTACAACCGGACCAGATGGTACAACAACCAAAACTGTCGTTTTTGCTCCAGAAGAATCACATCGTTTTAGTAAAAGTCGCACACCTTCTGAAGAACGTGTTTCTAGACATACTGTTATCAAAGATGATGGTTCATTTGGACCAATTAAGTTTGGTTTGGGGCATCATCACCAGCCACAACAACACCAACCTAATTATGCTCAAATGCATGAAAAATTTGCCGCGGAGGAAAAAATTGATAGTATTCGTACAAGAATTACAACAACACCACCTCGTAGTACTGTGCTACATTCTGGTGGCATTACACCAACTCTGCCAACAAAAAGTACTACACCACCGCGTACATTATTACATTATCGTACAAGTTCATCACGTACAACACCACATCATTCATCAATAAGTCCAACTAGTTCTTCTGGTGCGACTGGTATTATACGTTGGAGTGAATCTAAAGAAATACCACCGTTATCAACAAGTACCGGCACTACAAATACAATGGGAATAAAAACATTGCAAAAACCACCTGATATTAAAAATGTTGATGTTGGTCGCATTAAAAATATAGGTGATGAAGCTATTAAAAAACAACAATTAGTTACCACCGCCACCGGTACTATCGAAACTACTGGAAGTAATATTATTACACCAGGCAACCGAAATCAACAAATTCATTGGAAGGATGATAGCAACACTCAACCACAACCAGAATTATACCAAGTTAAAATTAGTAATAAACCAACCGAATTGATTAGTCGTGATTTAAAATCCTTTGAAGACGGTACTAATCCGGATATAATTAAAACAAAAAGGATATCAATTGAAAAAAGAAAACAATATAGTTACAGTGGTAGTGGTAGTGGGGGCGGCGGTAGTGGAAGTGGTGTTGGAAGTGATGGAATTAAAGATGTGTCATACCATTTGAGTGACGATATAATAAGTCCTAGTAGTCCAACAACAAGCGGTTTCATAAGTAGTAGTAGCGGTATTACCGCACCATTATTAACACGTAAACGTAATATAAGTACTGGTGCAACTGCTACCGATAGTATCGATGAAATAAGTAGTAGTAGCAATAGTAGCTCATTACATTCATCTGAATGGTACAACGAATATAGACATCAGCAATCGCTTTTACATACAGGCATGTCATCAGCTCGACAATTTGCAAGAAGTAATTCGCAATATGATAATCATATTAGGGAAATACGAGGTAATTATAAAACAATATAAAAAGTTTCCATCAGGAAAAAATTCAAAGCTATAAATATTAAAAGTGTATTTAATATGTAAATAAAGAATAGCTAGACTAAATATTTGAAACACATACTTATAAAGAAACAAATATAATTACAGTACCTATAAAAGAAAACCAACTTTACAAAGAAAAAATCAATAAAAATGTAATATAAGAATTTTTTAATTTTAAATTCAAAGTAAAGGTTAAAAGTTAGTTGCTTGGAATTAGACCCACACATTAAGTTAAGTTAGTTTAAAAGTTATTTTCTAAATTTTTATTGTAATATTATTATTGATGAGGCAAATATTAAGTTGAAGGACATTAAGAATATACTTATTATGAAAAATTAAAATTTTAGTGAGGAATTGCTTTGAATATTTTTTAAATGAACTCTAAACATAGTATGAAGGGTTATGAACATAATAAGAACTAAGTGATTGAAAGAACATTGGTTTTTTTTAATTCTCAATGGGCACTCAAATATTTACACATGATAAAGAAAATTCTTTATCAAAACACACAAAGTTTTTTTTTTTAATTTTTTCTTAAAATACCTTCAATAATTTCGTTATCATTTCGTTTTATTTATTTTTTGAAGTCTTATTGCGCAATTAATGTACCCCCAAACATTATTTTATTAGCGATACGTAAATAATTCATGAACAAAAAAAAGTATATAAGAAAATAGTGCAAAATTTGTCAAATTTTTTAACCCTAGATGACCAAAATCATGACTCCTTTTATTTGTTAAAGAATAATTTTTTAATAAAACCCAAATTTTCGACATAGCGCGAAAATTTTAGAACTAGAATTGAGCATTTTTTCAATAAACTTTTCAATTCAATAGTTTTAACTAAATTGAGAAACTGTTAAAAATAGACCTTTTGTATAATATATTAATTTTTTATTTTAAGCGCTTAAGGATTAAATTTTACTATTACAATACGAACAGTAACTGTAATTTAAGGTTAAGAAATACCTAACATAATATAAGTACTTATAATAGCATCTTAAAACAAAAATTTAATCGCATACATACATAAGTCATTAATCAAAGCCTATCATTTTAAATAATTTAAATTTTAATCTCCATAATAACTCAAATTTATGAGTACAAATCTAATTTTATTATTATTTGTGTTTATACAAATTACCGAAATACTTAAATTTAATTAACAAGTAGCTCTCAATTTTAATATAAAATTTTTATTGGATCTGATATTTAAACGTACCCCGCGTACTTGTTTAGCACTGTTAGGAGTTTAATATTTTTAACAGACCTGTGTAATAAAGTTGCGGTAAGAGAAAAGTAGTTATGCATATTTATTCCGTTAGACGACTTCTCATTTTAAATTAAAATTTATAAATTAAGGTTTACTCCTGTGTTCAAATAGCGTTCCATTTAAAAGCTGTGTATGTATGCCCGTAAAGGGACACATGCACAACCACAAACTAATTTTTATAAAACCTGTTTTATAATAAATAAATCAAAAAGGAATGAATATTAAAATTAATACTATTAATAGTCCCCCCATAAAGTTTTGTTTTCAATGTCATTTAAGGTAAATTGAATTAAAGAAAAGAAAGAAAACAATATTGTCTCCACATATTAATAGTTTTCATTTATTTTTACACACATAGTATAATACTTAGCCATATGGCTAAACCTTGTTAGAATTCTCACCATTATAACACATTTATGATTATCTATTACTTTGCCACATTGAAAATTTTTTGTCGACAATGTATTTAAAGAAAAAAACTCTGTTTTGCTTATATAAATTAATGCCATTATAGTGTATAAAATGTTTTAATCTACAATCCCATATTCTAATGCTCAATTTAAAAACGAAAAAAAAAAAATAATAAGTAAACTAAAATACTTAAGATCGAATTTCAAAAAAAAAAAAGAAAATCGAAATTTATTGATGTCATTGTAAAAAGTTGTTGTTGTAACTTGTAACACGCATTTTTTTTTCTGTTTTTTGCAAAACTTATCGTATGTTTTCGTTTTTCTCTTTTAGCCAAAGATTTATTACCGATCCATGCCAATAATGTAGGTACATAGTATAAAGTAAATTTAATGTTATAGAAGTGTATAATACATAAGTACTACAATGTATGTATATAAATAAAGAAATACCAGAAACAAAATTTTGTAATATAAGATAAAAAAAAATAAAGCATGGATCCTAAAAATAGATTCACTTTGCTGTCATAATGAGCATTTAAATATATCGAGAGCTAATGCAGAAAACCTTGTATCCAAAGTGATACGAAGTGGGAAAAAATATTCCTAAATTCATATGGCTGGTTATTTTATTTTAATATTTTGTAAAAAATTTTGTGCATTAAAACCAAGGCCAAATTGCTGCAACTTTAAATCTTGTTTCCTTATCTTAAAAATTTCATTTAAGCAGTACTAGTACATAAGTCAGCCTATTATTTGCAATTAATTTTACCGATATTTTTGAATAATTTCCAAATTTTTTAAATGTGACATAGAGCGTTCCCCTCATAAAGCTTTAATAATGTACATAAACATAGAATGTAATGTTATTAAAAGTAATGTATGTATATGTAAATGCAATAGATATTTTATAAAAAAATTTAATATATAATGTTAGAATATTAGATCATAAGAGTAATATTGATTTACATATACAATGAGGGATTTTATTAATCCATATGATACATTAAATATTTTGTTCATAAATATAAATATTATGCAATATTTATAACACATAAAAATTTTATATCAATTCAACATTTCAAAATTGTAAATGCGTAAAAATGTTGTATACGATCTATATAGAATAATTATTATACTGTCAATTTTGAAATTCTAAACAATAATGTCAATTCAGAAATTAAATGACAGATATTAATTGCTTATAATTAAGTACACGGGATAAGCATTTGGGATTAAATTCTAAAATGTCTGATTATTATCAAAAAAATATTATACTAAATAAACTTCTATTACTCGTATTTTATAATGTGAAGAATGATATAAAATGTTGCCAACCTCATTTAATTTTATAAGCATTTCCAGAAGTACTTAATTTTTATTCTCATTTTTTTTATTAGATTACAAAGTTATTTAGAAGTGTTGCCGTTTGATTACAATCTCATAAAAAGGTTCCAAAATATAATCTAGTAAATAAATCTAGAAATAAATCTAGTTTCAAAATCGCAATAATCGAGATTAGTATACAATTCAACTTATAAATCTTAATTTCTCAATTTCGTTTTGAATTTCGAAAATAGAAAATTGCTTGTTCCGAATGTATGTCCATATAAATAAATTTTTGAATCTTCTTTTTCTTTCTTTTATGTATCGGAATTTTGGATAAGTTACTAGAATTCAATGAATATTTTGTATATGCAGATACATACATTCCTGAACTCAATATTGTAAATTTTTTTTTAATTTTCAATATTCTTTAATATAAATTCCAATGGTGCTATATAAAAGAACCCCAAAAAGTACATTTCAACAATATAATAATAATTGATTTTTTTATTTTTGGAACAAAAATTTACATAAAACATTATGTTTATATACAATGCTCATAATATATTAATTTATAAAATATCTTATTTATGATTCATAAATCGTTTCCATGTAAAACAAACAAATAAATATTGTATTATTACTTGTATTCTTATATAATCTTATAACTAAATTATATAACTGGAGAAAAGAGTGCATATACATATAGTTACTAATATTGATTGATTATTACATGAATATTTCTGTTACAAAGCCATGCACATAAATTTTGTGCTTTTGTAAATTTTTGCTCTATCCGAAATAATTAGACTGTGAAATTTTTATTCTAAAAGTGAAAAAATGTTAAAAACAAATTATGTATTTACTTTCTGAAAAAGACAGGAAAAAGAAAATTATTAAATAAATTCTTTTATTTTGGTATACATGGCAACATTTTTATTATTCTTCCAGTTTTCCTCGACTCTTCGAATTAAAATTATTTGTACAATGTGGTTATTTAGTCGCGTGAATATCTACAATACTTTTATGCTATATTGGAAATTAATAATAAATTGCGTGATGCGTTTTTATTTTTTATTTAAAATGAAATTTGTATAGGTAAAATTTTCTACCATTCCAAATAATACTCCTATATATTGTAGTCTTTTTTTAATTAAAATAGAGAGATGACCTAATTTTTTTGGGGAATAAAGAAGTTTTTTCTAAAAACTGATGTTATATGTATGGGTAGTTGTTGTTTTATTGTTTAAAAGATTCATTTGTATTGAATTAAACAAAAAGCAGGATTTTATTTTTTTTGTTTTTTGCCTTTTAATTCTAGTATTGAAAATTATTTTTCTATTTTTGTTGCGTTATTAGAATTTTATATTAAAATATAAAAAAGGGGTTCCCTAGACATATTTATGATTATTACGCTACGTTATATTTAATCGATTTTGTTAGCAGATAGACAATGTCTGTTTAAGAGAGGGTTGGTATAAGTAGAGAGCTAACTTATGTTATAAAATTTTGTACTTTATACGTAAATATAGAGAATTTAATACAAATGCGGCGTATATACATATACATTCATATACATTTAATACCTTAATTTTTTTTGGTAGCTCTGGGATACAAGACAGCCGGCGTTTTTTTTTTATAATTTGGTTTTTTTTTTGTTTTCTTTGGGAAAATCAATCGAAGTTTTAAGTGTATTAAAGCTAGTTTTTACTTGAAATTATAATGAATTTAAAAACCATAAATCTATATGGGTTAATTAGTTGTAATAATTTTATTACACTCTTGTGCTACATTAAAAAGAATGTATACTTATATTTTATTCAATTACGTAAAAGAGAAATTAATTTATAGCTAAATCTTAAGAATGCGTAACAAAAAATACAATTTTCACTTTTTTTTAATAATTAATTGAATTTTATGTACATATACAACCTTCAATATACAGTGAGACTACGCA